AAGAGAGAAGATTCTGTGATACAGCACAGCAAGAACATGCCCTAGGCTGTTAGTCTATGTGCTGAGGTATTCCATGAAGAAGTGGTAGATACACCCAGCTGCGGCATCTTGTGTGGCACCCGCAATGCAGCAGAGCATTTGCACGAATGAACCTGTGTTTAGTTGTTCCGTTTCGCCTCTGCCTGGACACTGAGATGTAGCTGCTCTATGGTATACAAGCTTGGGGTATAATGTGCTGTGGGCGCACTACATGTACGAATAGACAACCGCAGTATACGGCAGCCTGTCGCTAATTGACCTTGCAAATATACTGCAAGTCGTAATTCCGGTACCAGGGGCTGAGACCGGAAAGGGACTCAATGCACTACAAGACTGTTCCGTATCTTGACAAGAGCATGGGCGGGGTCGGATATCACGATCACTCTGTCTGCATCTGTATACTAGACAGTGATGTTTGCCCCACTTGGTGTTTCCCTCGCTCGGCTGGAGCATCAACACGGACGTGTGCTTCCTGTTCCTCTTGTGAAAGCTTTCGGTGAAAACAAGAGTGGAAGTCTCCTTTGTGGCGGAGGGGTTGAATGGGTTGGTGGTATTGCAAGAAATACAGAACAATCGTCGTGGTGAGGATTATGTTGTGCAACACACGGGATGCAACAGGCATTGCAATCTGGAGCAAAGCGTTTTGTGTCTAGAAAAATCATAGGGAAGCTTCCTGCACAATGCACAACTGAAAAGGTTCAGGAAGGATATGTTGTCCATCCGGGCTTTGCTGTACCGCAACACTCCAGGCTGCTGTATGTTAACGCGGACGACAATTTACAGAAGCATCCACGCATGTCAATTTCTTCCCCCACCGAAAGCCCCTTGTAGGATGCGAGGTTTAGGTTGGGCGGATGGTTTCGGGTTCCGGGGTCGCTGTGCATAGGCTGCGCAGTGCCTTTAGTGCCTGTGGGGCTTGATCTGATGACTGCTGAGTGCAGGAGCGACCAAATTTCGAGTCTGCTCCAAGAAGTTGAGTCTCCCTGGCACTGTTTGAGCCACATGGCTGCTTTTTCCTTCACCCTAACCAACTTTGAAGCTTTTGGCATCAACTTACAATCCCAATTTCGGAAGCCCGCTGCATAAAGACAGCGCACAGTAAGTCACTAAAGCAAGAGGCTCTGATCGAGATTATGCATCAGGTTCCTTATGCGACAGAGTCGCAGAAAAATATGACGTTGGTCAAGTTGCTTCAAGCGAGCATAGTAGAGGTCCCCATGGCTTTAGGTTCCAAGTTTTTTACACTCTGCCAGTCGGAAGATACGAAAGCTTGCGTGGCTTAGGCTTTGGCATGGCATTGGCGTTGAGAATTTTGGACCAATCAGTTTCGGTTGCCAGACCTGTACAGCATAAAGGTAGCCGGTAACTGTGCAATGCCCGCTGTCGACTACCACGAGGACCCACGGATGATTGCTTCTGCAGAGAGGAAGTTGGCCCTTATGGCAGATCTGGAGCGGCCCCTGAATCAGGACTCACCGTTGGCAGTGGCATTGCTTCAGCCCCGGCCATCACCCCCAGTTCCTCCGAGTGCGAAGCCCATGTGCATCAAGCTCCCGAAGCCGCTGTCTCCACGAAGCAAAGAGCAGCTGCAAAGGGCGTACTGGCAGCATGTGGCAGCACCTGTGCCCCAAGTAGTGGGTGGACGCGGTCAGGAGATCTCGTGTGACGGCATTACGACCGTCATCCCTGGGCGGGCCTGGGTTGTTCCTCAGCTGCTCAGCATCGCAGAGTGCGGAGATCTCATCCGCTTGGGGGAGCAGTTCGGCCTTGAGGCCCCGAATGCAGCTGCTGGAGTCACCGGGCTTCGTACCAGCAAGCGAACTGCCAACTACTGCAACCCCGAGCTGGCAGGATTCATCGCAAATCGTTTGCCAGAGTCTCTTCTCGACACCCTCGAAGAGACGAAGCCCCACACCTCCGTGCGTGGCATCCATCCCAACTGGCGGCTAGCACGTTACGATGCCGGCGACTACTTCGCAGCTCACTATGATCAGGCTGACTGCCTGACTGTACAAGCCGGAGAAGGCAAGGAACGGTATGACTCGAGTCACACTCTGCTAGTTTCACTGAGCAGTCGCTCGGATCTCGAGGGAGGGGCTACACGACTGTGGCCCTCGGGGAGCTACGACGACACAGCTCTGGACGTGGAGCTGCCTCAGGGTTATGCCCTGGTCTTCGAACACCGCCTGCTCCACGCTGGCCTGGCGATTCAGTCGGGCACAAAGCACATCGCACAGGTTGGGATTCTGCGAGGAATGCCACAACGAGTCGGCGCTGCACCCTCTACCTTTCGTTTCGGGCCGGGGCTTGCCTACTGAAGTCTTCGGTACAGGGCTCCTGGGCCCAGGCTGCAAAATGGCCTCTTCTTACTAAGTGGTCGGACGGCATATCTCATGCCAAGCCTACACCACGGAATTGATGAGACCAGACTTCAAGCCAGGGGTGAAACTCGAAAAGGCCTGCATCAAACATTGTCGGACAGGTACACCATGCTCAAGACAAGAAGCGCCCCAAGAGCCGATACTGAAGCTACTTGAAACCTGCCGAAGTCCCACACGTCCGATCAGCAATCGCAATAGTAGGTACCTCGTTTGGACGTCTGGGGTTGGGTTTGAACATGATAGACAAAAAATGTGCAATGAAAAGGCGCGAACAAGCGGTGCACCAGATCACAGCCCTCGAACCGCAGGGCCTGAATGAAATGCATTTCAGAATTCTATGTAGGCCTTAAACCCGAAAGTTGAAACTACCCTGCGACTTTGCCGATGCCAGGCAGAAGGAAATCCCACTGACAGAGGTCTCCTTCACTGCGGCCCTGACGGCGCGCAGCCCAGGAACCTTACCCCTCGGGCGGCCTTGACGATTTCGGGATTAGGGATTCGAATCTTTAGTGCTAGGGTTCCAAGCTAGGCTGAGGGGTGGCACAGGCCCTTCTACTAGGAAGCTGGAGCATCATTGCAATCTCCAAGCACGAAGGTATGGTCTGGAGAATCATCTTGCCTCCAGATTCTCACGTTCCGTGGTGCACTGTAAGTTTTGCGAGAGGAGCTTAGGACCATATTGCTCCTACCCTGGGGGCGCAAACTCCAAGTTGCTATAGCAACTTTAGGCTATCTGGTACAGCTCGAAGAGGAAGAGTAGTGCCTCGGGTGTGGCACGATGAGTGTTTCATTGCCATGATTCCGGTATCTTGTGTAAATTGTCGAGGTTATTAGACCCGCTGTGGCCAGCAGGAATGCAATCTCTACCAGTCACTCTTGCAGACACTGGTGCGACTAGCAGATGAAAAAGCCGGAATGTGCGTGCTTTAATCCGGCTGAGGTTTACAAACCCTACACACAACAGTATTGCAGAACTTGTCATAACTGGCTGCGAAATTGCTCTGCCGCTAAACTTTGCTAAACCGTGCATGGCACTGAAAACTGGATTTGGCGAAGCTCAATGTGTTCCCGGCAAGGTTGCCTCGTGGACACAGGTGGTGCAGCTGTTGGCTTGCATGGCCAGGCTCATGGCTTCGACGAAATCCTGCACCTCTGCACCCTATCCTTAAGTCGTACATGTTACTATGATGCCCCCCAGGCCACTCAGCACTGCCACTGCCACTGCCACCATCACTACCACTACCACTACCACTACCACTACTACTTCTTCTTCTACCACTACTGCTACTACTACTACTACTACTACTACTACTACTACCGCTGCTACTATTGGTGCCGCTGCTACAGCCACTGCCACTGCCACTGCCACTGCTACTGCTACTGCTGCTGCTGCTGCTGCGCCGACTGCTACCGCTCCTGCTGTCGCTACTGCTACTGCTACTGCGACCACCACCACCACCACCACCACCACGACTCCTACTACTACTACCACCACTGCCACTGCCACTACGCCGACGACGACTACTACGACTAATGCTACTACTACGACTCCGGCTTCTGCTTCAACTTCTGCTCCTGCTGCACTCCTGGTGCGGTTACTTCTTTTATGGCTGATACTTCTACTAACGCGGCAAAAGCAAGAGTTGCAGGGATTGGGAGCGCCAGACTTGCCTAATCATCCCACCAGAGGCCTTGTCCGAATCCAAACAAAGCCCTGAATCCTGAGCCCATAAGTTCGAAGCCCTACACCCTGTACGTAAGACATGTTTCTCATCTTGCGCAGGCAAGGTCTGCGGCCTGGCCTATCGCATTTGACTTCGGCTATGTTCTCTTGCACTGCAGGTCCAGAGTTGCAGTTTAGGCTTGTGGCTCAAATCGTTGGTTCAAGACTCAAGGTTTGGATCTTTTGATGTTTGAAGCGCAGGGCTCAGGGTGATAAGCTTCAGCGTGTAAAGCTTGGGGTTGGTGGGTTGGGCTACCGGCTCATCCGCAACCTTCAACACTGAACGTGAAGCACAACTACAAATCATACTTGACAAACTGAGGATTCAAACTTAGCTCATGAAATCAAACTGGTTCTTACTGAAAGACCCAACACCTTGCAGCCTCACGATGGCAGTCTGGAGCCTTAGTAAACACGCCACGTGGTGGATTGACTGCAGACGGGGCGTGGCATCGGGCACTTCAGCTGCACGAGAAGGCAGATCTGCCGTTTGTGAACGACAATGCCTGGAGCCAAGCGTGCGCGGTGTCGGCGTAGGTTGCACGGGTTTGATTTTCGGGCTGGGTCTGCATGGCCGAAAACATCCCAGTGTTCAGAGTTCGATATGTGGGTTTAGCTTCTAGGTTTGCTCTTTCATTCAAGGGTCTGGAACAACGTAGTTTGCGTGATCAAGTTTTCATGAACCGAGGCCATTGCTGTCACTGCCCTTCTGCAAGCCTCCCGCTACGGTCGACCATGGGCACGCTGCTCAGACTGGGTCTTGGGACTGATAGCGGCTGCAGTGGTAGCCATCACTAAATGGTGCTTTCATTTGTCAACCCTTAGACTCTTGGACTGGAAAGGGTTTGATCAGATAAGCTGATGTTGTTGCGTATCGAGCCAGCGCACGCACACTTAATCCAGATAGTCTACCACCACGGACCTCGGATGATGCAAACGATCTCACGGACACGCTGCTTGCGGTGCTCCGGACCTCGAAAGCGTACCCGGGTACCCGGAACCCCCAAAGCGGGTGAAAAAAGGGCTGGTGCCAGCTCCCGTCTGCAGCTTCAGCTTGCTTGCGTTTGTGACGCAGCGTGAGACTGCTGGGTACAAAACGTGCCGAAGCTTTGTTCACAAATCACAGGTATGCTCATGTTGCACATGTATGCGCGTAGAGTGGACAGGTGCGCGTGTTCATGTGAGAGAAACATGCGTGTATGAAGAAGGTGGCATCCCGTGCTCCTGTAGTAGACACGTATGATGTATGAATGGCTAGTTGCTTGCAGCTTTCAGGGGTCAGGGGCAGGGGTCGTAGCACGAGGACAGAAAGCCCCAAAGAAGGGTTGCCAGGCCACCGCATTGGCCCATGCGTTCTGCGTGCGACGGCCACAGCGCCCTGAAGTTTACAGTCGGAAGCCGGAACAAGATATAAAGCCTCTTGTACCTGTAGCACAGTATGCGTACTGGCACATGCACCAATAATGACCCTAAATCCACAAGGCTCATCACTGCCATTTTAGAGACCACGAGAGCAACAGCAAGCTCTCTGAACCCTGAAGCCTAACCATCTTTCGGGCTGCTTGGCAGACGGGTCCATGTGAGGTACCTGTTCAAAAAATAGCCTGCCGTGAGACCCTCATTGAATCATATTCCCAAAGCTCACCAACTCTTATCTAATGAGCCCCGAAACTGCCTAAATGGTACCGCAACCCCCGTCTCGTTGCCAAGACCAAAACCGACAACATGTTTTCTACAAGTTTCCGCAACTGCGATTGAAGTACTGGTACTACAGAACGAGTAAACAAGCGAGCTCGGAGCACGCCTTGATTGAATCTGCTCAAGGCCGCCACCCTCTCTCTCCTTCAAGACCCGGGGCTCCGCCACAGTGCCCTAATCATCACGGCCTCGCCGGCTGTTTTTGGCATGTTCCAAATCAGGAGATCTAAGAGCTCAGGGCTTTCTGCCACGAGTGGTAATCCTTTGCCGAGTGCAGCTCCCAAAAGTGCTTGAAGTTCCAGGCTGAGGCAACCACCGTTCGTTCAGGCACAGCGTTTCGGTCTTCAAGCACTCGTCATTTACACCCTCAACAGTCGTAGTTTATGTACACGTCGTCGTCGAACCAGTAGCAGAACTTCAAATCGTCGTGGCGGTTCTCGAAGTTGCAATCGTAGTCGTTGTCCACCCAGTACAGTAGCGTAACAGCAGCAGCAGCAGTAACAGCAGCAATAGTCGTCGTGTGGCAGTAGTAGTAGTAGTAGTAGTAGTAGCAGTAGTAGCAGTAGTAGCAGTAGTAGCAGTAGTAGCAGTAGTAGCAGTAGTAGCAGTAGTAGCAGTAGTAGCTGTAGTAGCTGTAGTAGCTGTAGTAGCTGTAGTAGCTGTAGTTGTAGTTGTAGTTGTAGTTGTAGTAGTAGGAGGAGGAGGAGGAGTAGCGCGAGTAGTAGGAGGATTAGGAGGAGTAGGAGTTGTAGGAGTAGTAGGAGTAGTAGGAGTAGTAGCAGTAGCAGGAGTAGCAGGAGGAGTAGGAGGAGTAGGAGGAGTAGGAGGAGTAGCAGGAGTAGGAGGAGTAGGAGGAATAGGAGGAATAGGGGGCATAGGAGTAGATGGCGATGATGTCGATGATGCACGCTATGATGAAGGCATGATTTTGAAATCGACGATGACGGTGGTGGTGGTGTTGTGGTGGTGGTGATGGCGATACTTGATGATGCCGATGAAGATGATGATGGTCATGAGGGTTCGAGATGATGACGCTGATGATGGTCATCATCATCATCATCATGACTGATGTTTGGTGACGTCATCGTGGTGGCTCTGCCGGTGGTGGTGTTGTAGTGGTGGTGGCGAGGACTATGATACTGGCAATCTTGATGACAAGATCTACCAATGTTGGTCATAAGCTCATAGTTGGTCGTAGTAGTCACGGTGGCCATACTTGTCGTAGCTTTGATGGTTCCTGCTGCGGCTACGTGGTTTGGGCAATCTAGGCTGTATTCTGTTTACAAGCCGACATTGTATCCAAGCTTTGCGAGCATGTGCCGTAGATTAACCCGATTGGGACTGAAGTCTTGTTACTGCCCCGTGCCAGGAAGCGGGACGCGCTTTCGACTCGCATTCTTGGCCGTGACTTGCCGTTGATGATGATGATGATTATTACTATTTATGGTGATAAGTCTTCTTCATCGGCATCATAGTGTCCCATGTGTCAACATCTTCCCTCCTGAAGGCAGTGGCTGGCGGTAGAGAGTAAGTCAGTGAACGCCAGGCCAGGTCGAGCTCGTCTTCGTAGAATTCGATGCCACGGTGCTTGTCATGGCCGTCTTATGAGGGCTGCGGTGTCGCGATCGTAACAAGAGTTGCAACTCTTCTTTCGATATGCATTTCAGCCGGTCAACTTGTTGTTTCCTCAGCTTTTTGTCAGGAGCTGTACGTGAAGATGACGGAAGCATAGCCCGTGTCGTCGTCGGTCCGGCGGGGGCTCGTCACTCAGGCTCTCCATCGCCTTGCTCTCTGCGGCGCAAGCGCAGGGAATTGAAGCAACCGAGGCGCAGCACCTGTCGGACGATGCTACTAGCAGCTGCCTTCTAAAGTCCTGGCATGTGTGGAGCGCACCTCCTTTGACGCTGAAGACTTAAATTCCGAACCAAGATAATGAAATAATGAACTTTCTAAGAGGTTTCGAAGCCTGGTTCCTGATCCCTCTAGCTCAAATCAATCCCTTACTCTCAAAGCAACTTCAACGTTCACTTGTGAAAGGCTTTGGACAGGCGGAGATGTTTCAAAACTGCGTCTGCATCTACTTCTGGGGGCGGTCTTAGTAAGGACCCGGCTTACTTAGGACCCGATTTCGATATCCATTTCCCTGAGAAGTTTCATGCGCTCAACCACGATGCGAGTAAACCGGTTGAGGGTTGTTAGGGGCTTTCGAACCCGAGCCCCTCGATGAAGGCCGTCCGTGCCATCGCGGCGCGTGCTCTCAATTGTGCAGGACAGCCCCTCCTCCATGGTGGTAGTAGTCGTGCTTGGTCGTGGTGATGGAGGTGGTGGCGGTGTTTTCGTGACGCTGGTGATCGTGGTAGTGCTGCTGGTGGTGGAGTGTTGGTGGAGTAGTAGTCGTAGTAGGGAGTAGAAGTCGAAGTCAGAGTAGTAGTAGTAGTAGTAGTAGTAGTAGTAGTAGTAGTAGTAGTAGTAGTAGTAGTAGTAGTAGTAGTAGTAGTAGTAGTAGTAGTAGTAGTAGTAGTAGTAGTAGTAGTAATAGTAGTAGTAGTAGTAGTAGTAGTAGTAGTAGTAGTAGGCGCCCCCCTACCAACCACCCTTCTGACCATACTCTTGTGACACACATCCGTTTTACTCGGAATTTAAAGCACAGTCGTCATGTAGGAACATCTAATGAAGCTTCAAAATTAAGCTGCGTTTTTGAAAACTCCAGCTTCCGATTCTGGACGTGCTCTTGGGGGGGTTGAGGGGGGGGGGGGGGGCATGATGACGACATTGTTACGCAGACACCCCGAACAACCTCTCCAGAAGAGACGTTTTGCTCCAAACGTACCTCTGGACTTTGCAAACTCGACATTGGGCTTTGCCAGGGCTTTCGGCGAAAACTCGAAATTGGTTGGGGGGAAGCTGGTTTTTTATTCGGACTTCGGTCATGTCGTACACGTAGTCTATTGCTAACCACAGTTCTTCAGGCGTTGTTGCTTCCGGGGGGGGGGTCGGGGGATGGGCATGATGACTTACATCTTCTCGAACACAACCCACCACTTCAAAAGCAAAGCCTCCTACGCCGAGGTTTGGGCTTTCAGGGTGTTGGCGAGCCCCTCTCACACACAGCTTGCATCTTTGTTTTTGATGTTCAGAAGATGTTGCGCTTCAGGTTTAGCGAAAAGGAGTGCTTAAACCTTCTTGGCACCACCTGCGTTTTGCACGTCATTTATATCGTTTTCGTGCTATCCGACCACTTGTCGTTTGGCAGTTTCTTCCCCCTCGAGTTTGCAACTCCAGTTGCTGTTTCAGTTTTGGGGCCTGAGCGTCTGCAACTTCACCGGCTGTGACAGTTAAGGCAAGTAAGCCTGGGCAACTTCTGCAGATGTCACAGATAGGGGGCCTGACCCCCTGCATCTTCTGCAACTGTTATGTTCCTTGATGATGATGATGAGGATAATGATGGATTACGGCGCCAGGTGGTTGGTGGGGGGGGGCTAGTAGTAGTAGTAGTAGTAGTAGTAGTAGTAGTAGTAGTAGTAGTAGTAGTAGTAGTAGTAGTAGTAGTAGGAGTAGGAGTAGGAGTAGGAGTAGGAGTAGGAGTAGGAGTAGGAGTAGTAGTAGTAGTAGTAGTAGTAGTAGCAGCAGCAGCAGTAGTAGTAGTAGTAGTAGCAGCAGCAGTAGTAGTAGTAGTAGTGCCGTGGTCGAGGTCGAGGTCGTGGCAGTGGTAATGGTCGTGGTAGTAGTGGCTCAGACAAAATTTAACTCCAAGGATTACAACTGGAGAAGGAGGGGTCCCGATAATGTAGGCTGAACCGTATGTGTGCCACGGTACTGCACATGGAAGCACGCAGACTAGTCATACAGAGCAGGCAAGCTCAAAGGGTCGTTGATAATGCCTTCGGGCCGGGTATGCATGTAAAATGTGAACCTCCGCTCTAAACCAGACCATGAATTCTGGATTCTAGACTGCTGCAGCCTGAGCACTGGACGATTCACAGGACGGTGGCAGCAGAGCTTGGGCTTTGCTGCGGCCGCCGGCTCCTGGTACCAGTACCTGGGCTTAGATTTTACAGCATTCTCATGTTTGCAGTGATTCGGTTGCCAGCTTCAAGGGCCTCGAAGCATCCGCAGAGGAAGATGCTAAGCGTCACCAGCTGATCAATTGAATTTGGTGCAGGCACGAAGAGACAACCCAGGAGTTCAAGGAAGGAAGTCCCAAGAGGTGTATATGAGAGGCCATTGGGGCGGCTCTGAGTCAAAACCCTTCTGTTCGAAACTGCAAGGCACCTGGGAAAGACGGAACTGCCTGCGTGCACAAATGCCGGCCAGCAGTGTTGCCACCAGTCAAAGGTTCAAGATGGGATCTGTTAGAAAGCCCCACTACCGAAACGCCGGCCGACTCTGAAAGATTTGGCATCGTTTGCGTGTTGCGAGGCATTTCAGGGAGTGGTTTGGCGGTTGGAGGTTTGGCGCTTCGTGCTTCAGGGTCAGAGGGATGGAGGAAGAAGTGGGATCTTGGGAACCATATACTTTTTCAAGTTTAAGTTTGAAATCATGATGCCGAAAACCGGAGCCTCACCACACCGACAGCTCTCAAAACTCTCACAACCCCGCAACCTACAAACCCTACAAACGTCTCCCTGTACAAACCCTAAAGGATCTAAAGGCCCTAAAGTCTGAAGTCCAGTAACCGCTGTAGCCTGCTACGCAGAGGTCCGTTGCGCTCCTGGCAGCTGCCGCCCTGCGCCGTGTTTCCCCTGAGGGTTGCGCTCGGGCGTGGGAGCCGCCCCGGCAGTGAAGTTTTCTGTCGTGCTCGGGATCCAAAGCCTTTTCCTTTTTCAGAGTTCAGACTGTAGAGTCTCTCGTAGGGTCTCGGAGCTATTAAGGAAAGACAGTTGGAGTTGGGACCTGCTGATACAGGGAATGCAAGCGTCACGGCTGGGGTTGTCATGCTTTGTCACGATATGCGGCGCATGCACAAGACTAAACGGATTTGAAGAGTACGCCTGGGCCTGTGTGGCGGATTCGAGCGTGGGAATCTCACGGTTCTGTCTTTTTGGGCTTGATCCATGTACACGCTGTACATTGGTGTATTCCTGGAACGGGGAACTCTGAAGCCCCATGTGTTGTTTCAGCCCAAAAGCTCGAACCCACAGCCTGTATACTGTATAAGTACTCAGGTTAGGTCGGCCCTCGTTGTATAAAATCGTCTCGCGCGGGCGTGTACATGGGTATCCATAGGTTATTTCTGTCGGCTTTGGGGCGTGCATGCTGCTCGACGTGTTGGAGTGTTCAGCACATGTCCACAGCCCTGTCGTTCTTGCGGTCGTGCCAGAGTCGAAATAGTTTGCCAGAATGCGTCACGATGTTCGCGCCAACTATGGAACACTGCAGCTGAGCCAACGGGACTCGTGGTAGTGGTAGCACACAGCATGCGTAAGCCGGAGTGCAGGGTCGAGTCGACCATGTTGCATGCACCAACGAGGAGAAGCCCTCTCCGTGGCGACAAACTCTGCAGTACCTTGTACAGCTAGTGCCTTGGCCTACAGCGTAGCAGCGCAGCACACTTCTTTCAATCGTGCCCTGAACCTGAAACCCTGAACACGGATTCGTTACCAGGATGACTCTTGTTGGGCCGTGGGCTTCAGGGATCACTGCTGAGTAGGGGAACTTGTCCACAATAGCAGAGATGGTGGCAGCTTCACACGCAAGGACTTTCTAGTCTTCCGTTCCTTGATAGACTAGTGTATCTGAGCATCGGAAGGCCAGAAACCGCACAGTCTCCATGCCTCGACATCTGAGCCTGCAGAACTGCAGTGTGCATGCTGCTAAGGATACCAATGCCAATCCGAAATCTGTACGTGCTGCTTCTATCCCTTCAACCATCCCAAACCATCCTAAACCCTTCAGCTCTAAACCCTTCCTTCTCTCTCCAACTAACCGTCTGAACCCTAAACCCCTGAACCCCTAAACCCTAAACCTTAAATCTGAAGGAGAAGGAGAGCCCATCAGAAGCCTCGGACACCGGTCAGCGCTGCGTGGCAGCCTTCTCTCGAGCCGGAGACTACGAGGCACTGCGGAAGGTGGGAGTTTCCGAAAATACGGTACCCTTTTTTGGGGTCCTTATAATAAGGATCCTACTACTTCAAGGTACTATATTAGGGGTCCTTTTAATAAGGATCTTACTTTTTCAAGGTACTATATTAGGGTCCCCTATTTTTCGGAAACTCCCAGGTCTTCGAGCAGCTCCGTGCCCTCGGACTAGAGCCAGCCTCACATCTCGAAGTTAGAGCTTCAGAGGGGGATATGCTATATGCTGGTATGCACTGTGGACCTTGCAAGCAGGCTTTAATGGGGGTGAGTTTTCGGGTTTTCGGTTTTGTTTGAAGTCAGGTCGTCTGAACTGGTCACCGGCCTTTTCCTCGACACCTTGCTCCCGCACCCTTCATACGACGGCATCAACTCTACCCAACATCAAATGAACACCTGTGAATCGTCGTCCAAGGATGCCATTCCAGCATTCGCGGCATTGAGCTGCTTGGGCTGCTATTGTGAAGGGTCTAGGCCATGTGCCACACAAACGCGTTGCCAGGCATGTGTCTGGGATTGGCAGGCGCAGAGGGCAGAGTCCTTGCAGAGATGCCAAACCTCGCACGACCAAGATGTGAAGAGCAGTTCTTTTGTGTTGATTTCCTTGTGTTCCTGCTTCGTTCATGGCGAGTTGTTGTTGACAGTTCCCGGTTCCCAGGCCGCTGTGGGATGGAGAAACCTGAAACCGTACAACGCCGTACAAGGCCATGTAACACACACATCAGATGAACATGAGCTCCTTCAGGCCTGTAAACAAAACCATCCCCCAAGCTTCCAGGCACCTTGGCTCAAACCGGTGCCTGGCGCGATGCCGCTGCTTTGCTACGGGCGCTGCGGGACGTGCAGGCGGTCTTTGGATTTCTGATGTAGAAACTCGCCAGGGCCCAGCGTGGGATGGGAGGAAGAGAGCGGGCGGAGTTGAATCCGCAGCTGTGGTTTCTTTTTGAAACCCGCTCAGCGGCAAGACGATTCCGATGTCTGTCAGGGCTTTGTCAGGGACGGAGCTTGCCCAAATCTACGCCACGCCCGCACTCATCGCATGTCTCTCTAAAACGGATGGTGAGAAGTCGCCTTTCGCAAACCTTGAGGTGGAAGTACAGCTGGTGGCTCACCATCGCTTGCTAGGCCGGGTCCCGAGCAAAAGGCTACAATGCGGCTACAAGGTCAAATGACCTGGGATACCCTGAACTCCAGAACCTTGAGTGTTTGTGCGAAGGCGTGCACGTCTCGAGAGGTGCACCTGTGTAGGGTGGCCGCCGGAGACAGAGAGGTAGAGAGGGAACCAAAAATCAACAGACCCAGGGTTCTGCTGGACAGAACGGCAGAGGCACATGTCACATGCCTGAAGACATAGCTTTCCGTCAGTGCGGCGGTCTTTGGCGGACAATCGTGGGAAATCGGAAGTGCCAACGATCTGTATGTGCTACAGTGTGGCGTATTGAGACTAACCAGTCTCACGACGAGCAGCATACGCTGGTAGGCTACCTTCGGTATTCTGAATTCTTGCGGTAGTCAAATAATACTCCTATCAAAAATTCCCAGCATCGTGATGCCTGTTGATGATTGTCATCGCTACAGCTTTAATGAGTGCTTGTGCATCAGCGCGAGATCACTGGTAATGTCCCCTGATTTCGAGTCATGGTTATGTTCAGCACTATAGCTGCTAGTGCTCCGGTTATATACTCTATCTTGCTCTTGCGTACCATTCGTGTCGTCGTCGCCCGTGATCATTGTTGTCGTCGTCGTCGTCATTACTGTTGTCTTTGCCTAGTTGTAGAGTACATGTGTCATTGTTGTTGCTACTTATCTGACTTACAATGTCCTTCTGTACTCATTCACAAAACATTGAAAGGCATGTATGCTCTCGGGTCCCGGGCCACCACCCCCCCCAAAGGTATTTCCCCTTACCCCCCCTGCCCTGCTGCTGCACGCCCACCCGGCCTGCGCCCAGTCCCGCCCCCGGCCCGCACCTTGCTGGTTTCTTGACCTTGTGCGCGGATGGGGAGTGTCGCACTATGCCCTGCCGTGTGCGGAAAGCGGCAATCGGCTCAGTAGTTTCCAGCATCTGACATGAATTGCAATGCTGAATTATGAGGGTTGTATGGCGATGGTGATGGTGGCAGATAGTCTTTTGAAGGTATTAATGATGAAGATGACGACGACAAGGATGATGTTGAGCATGGTCTGATTGTCGACTCATGTCCCGGTCTAGAGCAGCACAACATCATGAGCAGTATCAACGGTGCCACAGCAAGAGGGAAGACAACGAGTAACACATAAGAACGTGGCGGCAAAAAGAGTACCGCCACAGGCCCCACACCATAGGGGGGGGCGGGGGGGAAGGGGGGAGGATACCATGGGGTGGGGGGGGGAGGGGGGGGGGGGGGGGGGGGGGGCAGCCCTGCATCATATATGTGTGCTTATCGGTTCTCGCAGATTAGTGATCATGCTCAGCAAGTCTGTTTATTGACGAAGTGCCAGGGGCTATGCACAGCGCGGGCCAGTGGCAGGGGGTGGTGACATGCCTGGATGGCATCAAGCGGCAGCTGGGCAGATGTTGTTTCTGTTTAGGCTTGCGGCGTTGGCTAAGGAGCTGAGTGCATAATGGACCCTATGCCCGCAATGCCCACTGTCTTTGGAGGTGGAAGATGTACCGCCCTTGCTATGTCGCTGTGCTAATCTATCTACTGAACGCTCTGGAACGAGATTACAAAGCCCGCGACATCGCTGACCTGTATCCTCTGACTGCCTCAGTCCTGCACCCTCAGCACGAAGGCCGGATTGTGCATGTCCAGCTATCCTGTACGGTCCTCTGCCGTCAAGATCCCTGAAGGAACTAAGGCTGGTTGCCGACTTGATGGCTTTAAGGCACGGAAAACACTGTGGACTAAGGCTTAGGGGTTGAGTGTCTCTTTTTGTCTAGGATCACCCGGAAAGCCACCAAGGAGCAGCTACCGCCCGGACATCTTCAGCTTTGGCCTGGCATTAGCAGCCAGGGATCCTGGCAACTTCTCTTGGAGAGGCGCCGCAGGGCTTAGAGCTTCAGGTTTCGGGCTTACGATTTGGGATGTTGGGCTCCTGGTGCCTTTTTCCCTGGTCTTTTGGACCTTTAGCTTCTTCAGACCGATGGGGGATCTGGCAGGGTCGAGGTTTGAGGCATATGGGTTCCTAAAGGGAGGGCTTCGGTATTTTTGGATGTGTGCGTCGGGGTCTAGTTCGATCTTCTGCATGGGGGTTGGAGGTTTACGATTGGGGGAGAACCATCCCAAGCGGCATGCGTCAAGAGCTGATGAATACGTTTTCAGCCCTGGTTTCAACTTCTCAAAATAGAAGATATAGAAGGTTACCCGAAACGCAACATCGATTTGTTCATTTTAGTTCCTCTTGGAGCGGGTTCAGGATTGAGATTGTTGCATACAGTACTGCAGGAGGCAATACGAATCTGGAGTCAAGCAAGATGTCGACTGAACTTTGCAAAAGCTCTTGAAACTGTCAGCCTTCAAACCCTACGCTGGCCTGAAACACAACAGGTTCAGAGAAAAGCACCCTAATTAAAGCCTCTGCAATCTGATGCACTCGTTCCAGAGCTGTTTGAGGTTCCTGAAAGTCTTTTAAAAAAATCGCACCTTCCCCCCCAAAGAAAGACACGCAAGCCCTACACAGCTTTCTGAAAATGCACAGGTTGGGACATGAAGACTCTGCTACAACCGCTTATCGGGCACCCCATGACAACCCCTTGTGGGTCTCAGAAGCATACTGTTTCAACCCTGTAAGTTTTAGCTGCCAATCCCACATCCGGTCTGTGAGGTGCAGTAGCTGTCCTCGACAAGCTACAGGACGAGAGCCTGGAGGTCCTTGTAGGGGCGGTGTGGATTTTCTCTCGCATTTTTTGCATAGGGTTGTTGGTATCAAGTGAAGTAGGGCTTATATTACCATTTTGGTGAGTGTAGATAGGGCTCCTTTTGAATTTTGGTGAGTGTATGTATTGGGTTTTATTATGGGGATACTAGTAATATAAACCATACTCTAAGTACGTAACGTTACGCCTTAGGATTTGGGCAGGAGACAAAGGAGTCCGTATCATCAGCGGGTCTTTGCACCGGTTCAGAAGGTTTCGATGAGGGTGTACAGAGGAATGCTACAGCTTTTGTCGTGGTGTATTTGGGATCTAACAATACAGAAGCGACTTCGGCAACTCTCTTGACTTCCTGAACCTAAATCCGCAAAAGCACTGACTTCTGGGATGACGGAAGTTTAGTAGATCCATCATCGTCTTTGATCGTGGATTTTCGGCTGCAAGATGTACTGGGAGAGCCCAGGGGTAGGGGTCTAGATTGGAAGTACGGTCTAAGGTGGACTTTAGGTCTCTCTTCCAGCAGCCGCAGGCCAGCCGCGTCGCTCTGGGTGCAGCCTCGCAGCGAGCAGAGCGTGCCCATCACTGGACTGGGGGCTGGAGGGGGAGAGGGGGCATTGAGGGTATAGAGATGTTAACATATGACCAGTGAAGAAGATTTCGGTGTATATTCTGATTATACATAGCAATTTAAGTAAAGGAGAAGATCAGTGGCTAGCTCCGACTTTGCTTGGGGCTTAGGTGCGCAGTAACTCGTAGCGGTGCTACAAAGCGGGAGCCGCAATGATCAAGGTTTCACAGCCAGTGACATAGCCTAAGCGATTGCGAGTTGTAAAGATGTTTGTCCTCAAGGCTCCTTCAGCACGCTTGGATGCGGTCACTCTGCTTCGCTTGTTGTGGTCCAGCTTGAAGCAAAGAAGTTCTCGACACAGCCCCTGAAGCCCCATACTCTGAACTGTAGAAACCCTGACTGATCTCGAGAAGCAGTGAAGTCTCTGAGTTCGAATACACTCTGAACCTCAAACAGCCAGTCCGGCTGAAATCATCCTTGTTGAGTCCGCAAGTTCAAGACTTCAGGAGCCTGGCCCTGCACTTCTGTGCTGGCAGCTTGTTGGCCCTGGGAGCTTCCGGAGCCAGAGTTTTTGGAATCTGTCGCCTCTGCTCAAGGCTTAGGAGGCTTCAGGCTGCGAAGCCTTTTTCATAAGACTCCAGCACTTTGGAGTTTTGGTTCTAAAGGCCATACGACCTAAGTTCGATTCAGTTATGGTCAAAGCATTGCGTCCTCCTTTCAAGGCCCGAGTGTATACGCACTCCCTGAACCCTAAATGCAGAGCCTTAACGCGATGGCCAAGGCGTGCAGTTTCAAAGCCTTGCCAGCACCCGAGGCCGACCTCCTTGTGTTGTTCGGTTTGAAGGGCGTGGAGGGTTTCCGATTGGGGGGGCCGGTCGGGTACTTAAGTTCTTTGAATAGTTTCGGAACGTGTCACATGACCATAATCTTCTGCCATGGATGTTGGCTTAATCTGGATGAATCGAACATGCGATTTTCAATCGCATGCCCAGTAGACTAGCAGGTAGACCTTATCTTCAGTCTGTTATCGACGGGCATGCCGATTCCTGAGCGCCTGTTTCCACCGTTCCGTGGCAACCCTAGATTGAGAAGCTCTATACCCCAAATCCATCAACGAAAACACAAAACTCTTAAACCTTAAAGCCCTCAACAACACGCCCCCGAAGCTATAAACTCTTATCCTTAGTCTTCGAGCGCTTTCCCGGAGGCTTCAGTTCTGCTATCAGCGCCTGCGAAAACCTTAGTGACAGAGCTGCAATCCGGACCAGGTTTAAAGTTGAGGGTGTTCAAAAGCTCGAGAAGCTTCACACAACAGAGCGAGAAGGCGGTAACCTGGAAAACCGAATATCGCCAAGCCAGCAAATCTAAACAGCCCAACCTCGCAGACAAAGCTGTCTTATGCTTTCTTTCCATACCCTTAGCCCAAATGAAGGAGATCCGCGAGCCAGTAAGGCAAACAGGCAAGTCCCATGGCCCAGCCAGAATGAATTTCTAGGCCAGGCGAAGAGAAAATGAGCCCGCGAAACAGAGCTCAACCCAAACCCTGAGAACCAGTCTATCGGTAGCACGAGCCTGGAGGTCAGTGGCGACAAGTGTCCATGCTTCTCCGGCACATGAGCGGTGACATGACGGAAACGATTTTCCGCAGGGCGTACGGGCTTTCAGAATACAGCCTGGTGATCTCGCTTGGAAAGCGACCTGTTGTGGTTCTTATGCGGCGACGAGCAAGCCGGCAGCTGCACTTGGCTTTCGAGGTTTCACATGGTCAGGGTTCTTCGGGACTTGGCCCAACCTTCAAAACCCCGGCGCGACTGGACCCCAAACCTTCCTAAAGCCTTCAGCCGCAAGGTACACAGCTGCGCCGGGATGCAGTGCTTTGCAACGCAGCGGCCGCTGCATCCTCGGGCGCTGGTCGTTGGGCCGAGGCACTGGACTTGCGCCACGGTTGAATCTCGATGGCTCGACTGTTGTCTGACAATAGGGTTCAAGCTGTTCGCTTTGAGACGGTTTCAACCGTGCTTAGTTTCGACGTTTCGTCTAGGATCGGGTCCGAAACAGGGTTGCGGTTGATCGCTCTCGACTGATTCAGGGGTCCGCGGTTTTGAAAGCAGTTTCTAAAAAAATGTTGCTGGAAGCGTCTGCTACTGCATTGGCACGGTTAGAAGGTTTCTCAGGGCGTTCCATGTGGAATTTCGCGCTTCTTGTTGCTTCTGGTGGTAAGTTTGAGGACTACAGCTTCACTCTCAGGGTTTGCATCAGCTCCTAAACCCCATGTCCTTGGTCAAGCAAAAGGTCGAAGTGTCGAGGGTGACGTGACGATAGTTGCGGTTGTAGAAACATGCTCCATATTTGTGTGCGTCGCCACGACTGCTGCGCTTGTTACCACCACCTATCCACCCACCAAAACGACCACCCAGGCACCCTCTTCCCCCCCCAGCCATCCAGCCAGCCACCCACCCGCCACTGCTACTTCTTCTGATTGTTGTCTACTGGTGGGGCTTCAGCATTTTGGGTGTCTGGTTGTGTGGAGTTCACACTTCAGGTGGATTGGAGCTTTCAGACTTTTGGTATTTAGCAGCTTTTGTTTCGTTTAAGAAAGGATTATAGCGCAGTGGGTTTGGCATGTCAGGTGTAAAGCTCTGCAAAGCCTGAACTACTTAGGCTGAGCTCCGGCGTGCTGCGAGACAAGACCGCCTGCGGGACGGGCCACTAGCACGCATTTAGTTTGCCCAGAAGCATGAATCATAGTCTCCCGAAAATCTGAACCGTATCCGTACAGCCAAATACCATGCGAGCTCCTTATCCTCAACACACCCCAAGCCTGAAGGAGTTTCGTGCCCCAAGCTACGGTATTTGGCTGGCGATATCCTTGCTGCATAAAGCTCACATTCCAGGCACTTTGGAAGCTTCGTTCACCTACGGTTGAGGGTCCAGGAATGTCTGGGATACTCCATCCCCCGAAGAATCCTGAAGCCATAAACAGAGAGGCCATCACAGCATGTTAACGTTCGGCTCGAACCACTACATAATCCGGCTCACTTCATTGTTTAGGATGTCGGGCATGTCCTACTGTAAGCCCGAAAACCTCTAAGGCCTGCGCTCCTGTCGGCATGGGGCAGAGACGGTCCCACTTCGAGCTTCGAACTCACAGCAGTTTCTACTGCCACGCCCTGGAACCTGTGTAGTCCAGAATCTCCGCATTCTTCAATATGTACAATAAGGGAGAAGAATAGTTTATCGGAAGCCTGGTCCATTCTCGCCCCAACACCTCCAAATTTTGAACACCGCCGGCGCATGCGCAAGGCTTGTCTGCCTGCGAAGCTTAGCAGCACTCAAGTCGGCAGCGGTGATGGGGTGGGCAGGGAAGGCCGCAACGCCTTTTCAGGCAAATTTGGGTACGCATTTTGGAGGAGAACACTGCGTCAGATACCTATGCGAAACCAAAAACTTCCTGAACTATGCGATCCGAAGTGCAGTGGCGGAATAATACTCGCCCCAAAGGAGCCCGAATTGTCCCGTAGTCGCCGCCCCAGATTGCTGGCTGTTTAGCGCTTATCAGGCTTATCAGACTTCAGGCTGCAGGGCTTGCACCATCAGCGGAGGTGCATGGAAACTAGTAACATCACTCCTCCTTCTGGGCAAAGCAACAATGTGTTCTGTTGACTCATGTAAGCCTCTACATCACCCTCAGCCCGAAACTCGCAAGCTCCCCTTATCTTCCGCTGCACAGTCTTCCCCTGCACACGTGGAGCCTTTCAACTCCATCAAGAAGCTCGATCGAACAAAACGAAGGACCGTATTTGCAACCGAAGTAGTCTCACAGAAATAAATATCCCCATAGCGCTCGTCACATGAGTCATAGTAGCATAAATAGTTGCAATGATGTCTAGCAAAGATCCGCAATGATCGCCACAATACGAGGAGCAGTGGCCAACAGCAGCCACTTAATCTGGATATATTAGCAGCAGCAATAGCAGGTGCAAGGAACATGAAGCAGTGTCAAGAGTTAGGTGATGAATGATCATCGGAGCGTCGACTATGCGAGCTCCACTGTGAATTCCCTAGTACTGGCTCTGCCGGATACATGCTCCCAGGGCCGCACGAGAGCCTGGCAAACGTCTTTGCGGTTAATGACTTTGGCCACACAAAACCAGGCAGGGCGAGTGCTGTCGCAAGACTCACCTGAACAATCATTCTGCGGCATATGCGTGTCGATTTGAGGTTGAGCAAAGTCTTGCGCATGGCAAGCATTTGGCTTTCGTCACATCCCTGTCCCTGCCGGTTTCGTTTCAGAAGCCTCGAACCCGACTCTGAAACTGAGCCCCATGACTCCTGAATGCGGTACTCTGCCCGCGAAGACCTCAAGCAACTGCGAACCCCATTGGCCCAAGCCCACTGCGCAGGTGCAAGTCGACATGCCCAGCCGCGATGTTGTAGCCGCTTGGTCTTCATGCTGACCGAGGTCTAGAGCGGGAGCTAGAAGGCCCTGACCTGAAAGACTCAAAGCTGGTAAACCCAAAGCCCTGCACTTTTCATAACGGGTGGTCCTGGCACCCTGGATTCATATGCATCCGGGACAGGCGCATAAGGCTTTTGTCTGGCGAGGCGCCGCATCATAACTGCAGTTGGGTTTCCATCCATGGCAATCTCTGAGTTTTACGAGCATCGCGCGCTTGGGTGATTCGCAATGCTCGCACAGACTTCCTGCATCATCAGAAACATGCTATGGCAAGGAATTGTCATTCCGGCTTATAGCATCAATGTTGCAGTAATCTTAAAGGCTCGCAGGCAGCAGAGTTTTATTAGGGTCGATTAAACACAAGCAGGGGCGGGGTTTAGGGATACTAGAGTGCAGCGGTTTTCAACACTGTGGACCCGCGATCCCTGAAACACCTACAGTATAGTCTAATATAATTACTTGCCGTAGTTCTATAAACAGATATAAAAAAGCATTGGCTGGCCCGAGGCCCTGAACACTGAACCAAACGCCTGAACCCCCAAACCCTTCCCTGCACTACCCTAGAAGCTGTACTCGCCTGTATCCCGGTACAGTAGTACTCTATTTAGTGTTTAGGGTTTAGGCTAAAGCTCTACACTGAAGCCTTAATCCATTTCAGCTGTTCGCGAGGTTTCCTGCTGTGAGCATGCCTTGCACACCATCGGAGTTGTTGGCTTGCCCGGATCTCAACCGCCTAGATTTAAGCGTTCCGTTTGGAACTACTATAAAAAAGATACCATTGGGTGTTGTGTGTAGGCTCTAGGGTTTCGGGATCAGGATTTTGTAAGGCTTGTGGGGTCGGGGAATCATTTCTGGGGGCTGTGGGGTCTGGTGCTGGGTCTTTTTGGCTGTGCATTGGCATCATTGGCATATGCTGAGAAGTTGAGGCGTAGTGCAGCGCGAAGCGAGGGTGTGTCGTTTCGGTCAATCGATTTCGAAACATGTAGCCCTGTCCAAGGGTGCACTGTAGCATGTTCGGGTGGAGGGCTTTAGATACAGATTACATTCGCAAAAGATCTGGAGTTTCAGCCAGACCCTCCTGGCATGTTTGAGCACCACTCCATCTCCAACCTCGAAGCATGAGGTTTTAGACCGCATAAGAACAAAAGTCCCGAAATGAAGGATGACAGGGAGCTGCTCTTCTGTAAGTTCCAATCCAAACGTGGCCTTGGAATGAATTCAGGCGATGTCGATGTCGACTTCGCTCTCTATGCTGTCCAACACTACAGGAACTTGTCGTTGTACGAAGCTAGCCAACCATCCATTCATCCCTCTGAGGTTAGAGAGATGCAACGATGCACGTCCGCTTCGGTGCGTGGATGTGCGCGGAGCTGTCGTCGAAGAGAAAAGGGTGCTGTGCAGCGTTTCCGGCAGGTGGAATCCTCCCGAGGTGTCAGGCCTTCTTTTCTTCCTTGCCGTAGGCTGGGTAAGTTCAAGACTCGAAGCAAGGGCCTGAGACCTGAATTTGACTCTCATCGTTCCTTCTTGGGTTCTTGTTGTCGCTACTAAGCATGTCTGATTCACCCTTATCAGCTGGCATGGCGCAGCTTTCTTGGCACAGGCACCGTTGACTCAGTCTAGCAAGGCTCTTCGCTTGACAGGGCTCTTCGTGTACTATCGTTACTATCGACTAAGCAGAGCTTCGCCTCGCAGCTTGGACATGATACAACCAGCATAAAGCCAAGGTCATGCATTCATGAAGCTGTGTAGCATGGGCCAGGATGGGTCCTGCATGAAACAGACACCAATCATGCAGAGAAACCAGCAAGGACGTGGGGATGGACTGCGTAGTCATAGCAACCCTCGGAAGGCAGGAAACCCTACCCTACATTCCTACATCCTGGCCGTAGCATGCGAGATATTCGCAAGACCACAGTAAGGTCCTGAAGTGAGTAGTAACCAGGCTGAAACCTAAACACCTTAGACTCCTTAGGCCCAAATCACTGAACACCCGGTTGAAGCATTCAACCACGAAGATCCTACTCAGCGTGGGACCGAAGCTCTAGATTTGGACTTCTAAGGCTTCGTGCTGCTCATGGTTTGTCAACTGGAGTCGAGTCCTGTTTTGATCGGGGTCCCCAAAGAGCACGGCCTTCTCGCAAGAAGAGCACCCTCATTTTGGGGACATGGGCAGGGTGTAGGGAACTCGGGGCAGGACCGACAGAACTGGCACGGGGCTGCGGATGCAACACTCGAGGCGCGAGCTTCGATTGACCATGTCTGCGATGGTCGAGTGGTGAGACCGACCACAAGTAAGATCAACCTTCATTAGTGCCCCCGACATTGAGAAGCTCCATGTCCATGCTTCTTGATCACAGGTTGCTGTCGCAGCTGTCTCTGGCCCTGCATCGGAGCAACTCGGCTGCAGATGCGTTATTGGAGACTGTAGGCTAATATTTGTGTATGCATGCATGCATGCATACATATAATACAAGTTGTATGTGTATATCTACATGTGTATATATATATATATAAACACATATTGCACATGAGCTCGGATATGGAAATATGGCCGCAGCTTCGGCTTAGTAGAGCTGTAGGTACACATATAGATAGATGCATACGTAAGCAAAGGCATATTATGAGTTGAAACGTCTCGACTCAGATGCTATGCAGAGAAGCCTTGCCGGAGTAGCTGGGTCTACTCGAGGATGGAGGTAGAACTCGGGAATTGCTGCATTGCATGTAGCTTTGCGCGGAACCTCTGTTACACAAGGCCGGGGAGCCCGATGGCAAATGAAACGCCTGTCTAACCCTTGAGGACCTCACGAGCTCTGAAATTGCCTTCAACTCTAACCCCAAGAACGCTACAACATGCTACAACTCCAGCACCGTCTAAGCGTAAGAATTGAGAACTGTCTGCCTCGACTGCCGGGCCACCGAGGGAAGCGCCGAAAGCAGGGCACCAAGCCTGCAACGCCTGGTTGACCATTTTGGGTTTGGTTGGATTTAGGAAGTTAGGCATTTTGGGTGGGCCGGTGCTGGGAAATCAGTAGCTATGTCAGTGCCAGATAGTCTGAGGTGCATATACACCTCTCGAACAAAGCTTGCAAATCTCCTTTGCTTCAAGCGCCTGGTGACACGTTCTGCCCTCAACAGCCCAAGGTCTCACCTGAGAGACAGGAATGCAACCAAAGCCCCGCCCTCGCCCCCGAAGCTTCCTGTTCGTCCAAACGGTCGATACTCGGAAGTCCTGCCTCCCCAAGCCCCAAAGTCGTATATATTGGATTGGATTCCTGCGTGGCTTCATACACAAACTTTCAGCCCCTATCCCTCAATCATAGACCCCGAACACGAAACGCTCACACCCCAAACCCACATCCTCAACCCGTTAGGAATACTCAATCCCAAGCCGGAAGCTTTTAGCCTCTCAGCTCCTCTCTTCGGCGCTCCGGGCTTTGTCCGCTTTAGCTCCGGTGCTGCGCTCGGAGGCCCACCACCTGAGGTGGTGCAGGGGCTGACATTATGTAGGGCTTGAGGTCAAGACCTTGGTTTGGGTTTTTTTTAGTCGGAATTGAGATTTTGTTCTTACTCGTTTTGGTTTTATGTCTCTTCTTGAGATCGTTGCTGCGGCTAGCTTCAAGACCGGGTCGTTCTCGGTGATCATCGAGGCAGCCGCAGCTGGTGCTCCTTGTGCTCCTCCTGCTGTTGTTAATGTGTGGTGCCGGTGCTGATGCCGTTCTGAAAATCGCTAGTACTATCGCCAGTGCTGCATGACTCGTGAGTTCTACTGCTACCCCTACGACCAGGGAGGCGACGACGACTCGACCTCGACCAGTGTCGTCATGCTTGTGAACTGTAATACGTGCCATGGAAGCATAGATTTAAGTTAAGCGGCCTCGTCATCGCTTCCTTGACAAATGTAAAGCCGCAACTCAGTTCGGAGTCCTGAAGCTACGTAGCCAGTCATGATCCATAAGCAGCGTAGCAAACAGCCTTCCGTCAAAGCATCAAACCCCAAAACCCCCAACCCGACAAACCTTCGACCCTCCAACCAAAAAGAGGTTGGGGAGAACACCACAATAGATAGTGCTGGGGTTGGTACAACTTTAAGTAGTGGCCCCAGCAGTAAGTGCGATAGTGCAGTGGTAGCAGTAGCAGCAGTAGCAGCAGCAGCAGTAGTAGCAATAGCCGTAGCAGTAGCAGCAGTAGCAGCAACAGCAGCAACAGCAGGAGCAGGAGCAGGAGTAGTAGTAGTAGTAGTAGTATCAGTAGTAGTAGTTGTAGTAGTAGTAGTAGTAGTAGCAGTAGCAGCAGCAGTAGCAGTAGCAGTAGCAGTAGCAGTAGCAGTAGCAGTAGCAGTAGCAGTAGCAGTAGTAGTAGTAGTAGTAGTAGTAGCAGTAGTAGCAGTAGTAGTAGTAGTAGCAGTAGTAGTAGTAGTAGTAGTAGTAGATGTTGCTGTTGTAGTAGTAGTAGTAGTAGTAGTAGTAGTTGTAGTAGTAGCAGTAGTAGCAGTAGTAGCAATAGCCGTAGCAGTAGCAGCAGTAGCAGCAACAGCAGCAACAGCAGGAGCAGGAGGAGTAGTAGTAGTAGTAGTAGTAGTAGTAGTAGTAGCAGTAGTAGTAGTAGTAGTAGTAGTAGTAGTAGTAGTAGTAGTAGTAGTAGTAGTAGTCGCAGTAGCAGTAGCAGTAGCAGTAGCAGTAGCAGTAGCAGTAGCAGTAGCAGTAGCAGTAGCAGTAGCAGTAGCAGTAGTAGTAGTAGCAGTAGTAGTAGTAGTAGTAGATGTTGCTGTTGTTGTTGTTGTAGTAGTAGTAGTAGTTGTAGTATTAGCAGTAGTAGCAGTAGTAGCAGTAGTAGCAGTAGTAGTTGTTGTAGTAGTAGTGGTAGTAGTGGCAGTAGTGGTAGTGGTAGTAGTAGTAGTAGTAGTAGTAGTAGTAGTAGTAGTAGTAGTAGTAGTAGTAGTAGTAGTAGTAATAGCTATCTATTGTCGCAAGGCAGCATGCTGTGCGTCGTTTAAGTGTGTACATCGCTTTGTGCAGAAATCACGCAGACGGCAGGTTCGTAGACCTGACAGACATGCAACATCCTGCACTGACGCTCTGGAAGTTGTAGCATCATGTTGGGAGGCCTTAGGCACCGCGGCGCTGGAACTTGCCAAGGGCTCGGGCGTGCATGTTGACGGTGGCGTTGTGCTTTCCTGACAGACTCACCATCACAACCGTCACCACCACAACGATGGCAACAACTGCAGCAACAACGACCAACACACACCACCAACCACCTCCAAGAACCAACAACAACCAGCAAAAGCAAACAACAACAACATCAACAACAACAGCAACAACAGCAGCGCAGCAGCAACAGCAAGAGCTGCAACCACCAACACAACCACAGTGACACCGACAACGACAGCCACAAGAAGAAAAAGAAGAGCAACAACCACAACAAAAACAGCAACGGCAACAACAACGAGGACGAGGACGTCAACAACAACGACACCACCAACAGCAACAACAACAACAACAACAGCAACAGCAACAGCAGCAGCAGCAGCAGCAGCAACAGCAACAGCAACAGCAACAATAGCAGCAACAACACTCGCGAATATGAGAGAAACAAGCAACACTTAACGAGGAGCAATGAAGAATGAAGATTCAGAAGCAAACGGCAAAAACAACGAACAACAAACAACAACAACAACAACAACAACAACAACAACAACAACAACAACAACAACAACAACAACAACAACAACAACAACAACAACAACAACAACAACAACAACAACAACAGAAACACAAATACAAACAACAGCAGCAATAGCAACAACTGCAACAAGAACCTGCAACAAAATGACTGGCCAACCAACCGAGCACGACGAACACAAACACTGCTGTTGCTGCTAGCTGCTGCTGCTCCTCCTCCTCCTCCTCCTGCTTCTCCTCCTACAACTACTGCTACGACTACGACTACGACTACAGCAGCTTGGGCACTGGCTTCTGCAAAGATTGTGCCTTACGATGTCATCCCTATGTTTTACATGACCATACACTCGCCGTCAGTTTGCCGTGCATATCTAGCCTAGTTCCATTCCCAAATCTCGAAGCCCTACCTCCAACGGGTTATGTCCTTGACCGTAGGACCCGGATTATGCTTTGTGCTATTCGACAACATACACCCAGAGCAGTATGTCAACAACTTGCCGCCTCTGCAATGATTAGGCTTTAATCCGTGCACCCCAAGCCTTAAACCCAAATGCCGGAACCTAACATCCACAAACCTGGGACCCTAAACTCAACTGTGCATCTGGATTCTTCAAAAACCCTGGAGCCCTACAAGCGCTACGCCCTCAAGCCCACGAACGTAATGCAGTTTGTTAGCGATAAGATGCGGTCTTCTTGGTTCGGTGCTTTCAGTGGGTAATTTCTGGTGTTCGGCAAGGCGTCAGTGTTCTCAGGTTCAGCCTCAGAAGTTACAAAGGATTCCTAGCGTTCAGATGCGGGTTTGGCGACTTGGTTTTTCGAAATCTGAGGTTATGTGTTTGCATTTCGGGTTTACAGCTCGGGCATTGAAATGTTTTGCAACCATAAAGTCGCGGGGGCTTGGGACATTGCACCGCAAGAAGCTTACAGAGATGGTCATCTTTTTCAGAGCAGGTGCTGGAATGTGAAAACCTCCCTCCGGCAAACACGAACCCTGACACTGAGATCCGAAGAGGGCGAGCGGCTAGCAGCTAGTATCATGCTTGAGCTTCGGTTTCACTGGGATTGTAACAAACCAGTGCTTCTCACACTGGGGTCCTTTTCAACCATGTATGGTGCCGCGTCGCCGCGTCGCAGGCCCCCCCCCCCCCCTGGTATGCCCCCCCCCCCCCCGGCCAAGCCTCTCGTCCCAACAAACAGTCACACATCATCCGCGGAGCGCCAGGGGCAACCCAGAACCCGTAGAACCACAGGGCCCCTTCCCCTTCCCCTCCCCTTCGACATACACGTGAGAATGATGATTCCCAGTGTGGCTGTTGGTGGTACCTTTGCTCTTGTGTTGCTCTGGGCTTCGGCACCGCATGCTCATTGTTTTACGTTAAAAGTAAGCTTGAGCACGAATTTGAATGGTTTTCATTCGGGACTCTTGAGCAAGGGACCGGAGGTGGGGATCATGACCACAATCTTGGTCATTATCATAACCAAAATATTCATCTCTGTCATTGGCTTTGGAGCTCAGGGCAGGTCGGAGTCCAGTGGAACTGTATCACATCCTAAGGTCAAAACCTTTAGCAGCCGGACGCCCAACCAGCAATAGCCATGGAAGGGGGCACAGCCGACCGCAACCACAGGGGGGAGGGGAGGGGGGAACCCACACCACAGCGAACCACAGGGGGGGAGGGGGGGGATACCATGGGGTGGGGGGGGGAGGGGGGCCTAGCAGCGCTGCACCAATGTATGCCCTAAACCTGTGAAGAAGGCCACAACCATGCCTTCTCCAGGCACGGACACCCCCAGCAGAACAGAGCCGTCTGCGAGATGTCCGCATGGGAATACCTAGAATCCTTAAACCCTAAACCCTGACACCAGAAACCCATTCCCCGTTCCGCACAAAGCCGACGCAAGAAGGCTTGTCGAGTTCTGGCCTCAAGTTCGGTGCCCCGCGCTTTGGAGCCTTGCCAGACCCAGGCCAGTTGGGTTTCAGCGTGAACTGCGCATGGAAACCTTCCAACCCTGAAGCCTTGAATGTCCATGCTTGAGGTGCCAGACCTTACGAATCTCATCACGTTCTTAGGGTTCAGGGCTTGGGTTTCGGCAGAAACCACGCAGGTATTGGTGTGGCGTTTTGGACTGGCGGTTCAGGGCGTCTCCGACAACTTGGGCCTCAAACTGACTCTATCACTGTTGTTTTGGCGACTGCATGGACGTCTTATCTCAAGTGTACAAGGCCTTGATGTAGCAATGCTCGCAGCAGACTCGGCAAATCCACGGAATTATTCTGTCACGACTTTGCAACACTTGGACCTTAGAGAGTGCCCTTAAGCCTCAACCCTCGTGTAGCGTAGTGCTAAGGCATGCCAGAGTGACCCTCATAATTCCTGGGTTCGTATTCTTGTGGAGGACAGACCAGAGGAAGTGGTATTGTTCCGTTGAATTTGCCGAACCCAAACCACTTCTGAACGTCCAACTCGGATAAACTAGGCCTTAAGCACCAAACCGAGCTTTGAAGTCCCAGGCCCGCAGCAAAGCCCAAACCCGAAACCAGTTTAAAGGATGAGGGCTTTGGATTTCGGGGCTTAGGTTGACTCCTAAACCTTGAACTCAGGCGTTGCAGCTCCTGCGCGCCCTGGCAAAGAGCGACACAGACCTGCTGGGTGGGAAGCAGGCGGCTCGCAGAAACTGGTGGGATTTAGGATAGGGGCTTAGGTGGCTTTGCATAGGGGGATTCTATACGATGTCTTCCTGGCTTCAGGTCTCCGGAAAGTTCTATATAAGCCAGAACTGTGCAACATGTCTCCATATTGCTTTGAGCTTCAGGGTTTGGAGTTGTGGGTGTTGATGGAGTAGGAGCATGAGTAGGAGCAGGAGTAGTAGTAGCGGCAGGAATCTCAGCAGCAGCAGCAGCAGCAGAACCAGTAGCAATACCGGTAGCAGCAACAGCAGCCGCAGTAGCGGGAGCAGCAGCAGTGGCAGTAGCAGTAGCAGTAGTGGTGATAGTGGTTCTTAAGCTGGTACCGACAATGAAAAGATACAAATAAACAACAAATTGTTGTCGGGATAGCGATGTCGGCAGAAGGGACGAAGGCAAGACATCAACTTTGTGTATCCTAAAGGCCGAGTTTGGAAGCCCTCCAGCCTGAGTCCCAACACCAGAAAACCGATGTCAGGGCATTTCTGCTGCGGTGGCAGCAGCTTTTGCAGCGGCCAAGGATGCAGCACCGGCCGTAGACGACCTTGACGAGGTGCATTGGAAGTGTGTCTCGGAAAGGGTCCTTGCAAGGGTCTTTACTGCAAACGTTTCTGGGGAGATCCTAGTAGAGATCCTTGCCTACATAGTTTAGAGAACTCCTAGATGGTGATGAACTACAAGCCCTTGCGCGGTGTAGAGGGTCGAGGCTGTTATGTTTAGTGCTTTACAGCTGAGTGGTAAGATTTCCCTGGCTATTCGGTGGATCCTGCATTTTGAAACAACCTCTTATGGATTCAGCTGCCGGTTTTACGAGGCAAGCGATTCCATTCTACGGAGTCTCTGGGTTTAAGATTGTATGTTTTCTGCGTTAAAAATGTCGACCCATGCATTTTTAGAAAGTCGCGTTCGGTCTGAGGATGTGGAAGGGTGCCCGGTAGTTCATTGACAGAGAGCGAGCCGTCTTCAGACGTCATGAACCATGCGCAACGCCCGCTCACGTGCCTAACAATCTGAACCTTCCCCCTGCAGCCCGAACCCGAAAGCCTTGTTTACGGAGTTTGTGGTTGGGGGGCAATCCTCAAAACGATCCACGGTACAGCCTGGGTCAGCCCCTCAGTGGCCCAAAGGATCCCAAAGGTCACCTGAGCTCCGCTTGTACACCCATGGAGCTTGCCAAGCCCGGCCCCACTGACGAAGACTGATTGATGAAGCTCCGGGTTTCAGGGCTTGCGAAAACCTCACGTCCATGCTGATAAATTTCCAACCTGGGAATCCCAGATGTCCGAAGGCTTCTCGTCGCAGACGGCGTTGAAGTCCCGCAGGTTTAGAGAAGGGAATCTCAGAAATTCATACTCGCGTCCTGTCATGGCCCCATAGAATGATGCGTGCCTACGCCCTGATTCCAAAAAGCACATACCAGCTAGCAGGTGAGTAGCACTGCGCAGTCTGGGCGCGAATGCTCCTTGACTGTGTCTAAACACTCAGGTCCCTTGTTGGAGGGCCAATTTGGGTTTGAGGTTGAAGGGGACGCTTCACGTTGTTGCCTGAGAAAGACCACCGATATCCTGCTGCCGTCTTTTCCCGTGTAGTGACGGCAGTGAGGCCCTACACTGGACCCCAATGCAAACCAACCCCCAGGCTAAAGCTGCAAGCCTCTTGGCTTTCACTGAGGCTGAGAATGGTTCTGCACGTTTCAAGACACAGTGGGAACATACGACAACAAGCCTCACAACAGGAGGGCTCACAATACCTCCACTGACGCTACTAGCAGCGAAGGGGTTAGTTGAAGAGAGCACTACAGACAGGACCGAACGATGCTTGAAACCTCAGTCCGGAAGCCCTTTCAGGCTTGCGAGTGCTCGCTCGCAGAGCGCCGGAAGAGGCTGTTCCTGCCATCCTTGAGGCCCCTGTTCCATGGTTGACACCACTAGTTCTAGCTTTGTGCTATCCTGCTGCTGCCCTCGCTGCAATCCCAACTTACAGCTGCTGCTGTTTCTCCCAGCGGCTCCTTATCATCTCAATCTGCTATAGCTGCTCCTGCTGGTCCTCTCCTTTTCCTACTGATCTTACTCCTCCTACTTCCCCTGCTCCCATTCACCACTACCCCTACCTCTACGACGGCAACTGCTACTGGGACTCTTTCTACGATAAGCAAAGCTGCTGTTTTGTATTCGTGCACCATCTCCAGTGCTGCTACTGCGGCTGCGGCTCTGATCATCATCATCATCATCATCATCATCGTCATCGTCATACTTGCATGCACATTGAAGACCTACTGACCTTCTGCAATCTGCAACCAACCATGTCATCGGAATGCTACATTCAAGTCTGAAGGGATCCAGTTGTCAAGTTGAGGTTGTGCATCAAGGTATTCTGCACCCCAGCCTTCTGTGAGATTGTGAGATCAGAAATTGGCTTCTGCGACCTGTTGTACACTAGGTTGCCTGTCCAGAAACGGTCGTTGGCCCAAAACGCGAGCAGCACACTGAAGGTGCCAGAATTAAGTGTCAAAATAGGCCCTCCATCCGAACGGAAGCCCCCTTCCGTTGCAGGCTGCACAGAAAGCTGCCCAGTCGGCAGATGCCCGGGTCCTGTCACCAGTACTGGGCAAGGCCCACGGGCGAAAAGTCCCGGAGCCTGAGAGCAGCTTCTTAACAATAGTCGTGCCCCTACGAGAAGTTATATACTTCTACTACCACTGTTGCTACCACTACTACTACTACTACTACTACTACTACTACTACTACTACTACTACTACTACTACTACTACTACTACTACTACTACTACTACTACTACTACTGCTCCTTCCTGCTCCTTCCTGCTCCTTCCTGCTCCTTCCTGCTCCTGCTTTTCTTACTGCTACTACTACTACTTCTACTTCTACTTCTACTTCTACTACTTCTACTACTTCTACTACGACTACTACTACTACTACTACTACTACTACTACTACTACTACTACTACTACTACTACTACTACTACTACTACTACTACTACTATTGCCACTGCCACTGCCACTGCCACTATCCCTACCCCTACTGCGACCACTACCACTACCACTACCACCACTACTCCTACTCCTGCTCCTACTTCTGCTCCGGCTCCTGCTCCCGCTGCTCCTGCTCCCGCTGCTGCTGCTGCTGCTGCTGCTGCTGCTGCTGATACTGCTGCTGCTGCTGCTACCGCCGTTTGCTGCTACTAGTGCTGTTACTTACGACTTCTACTACTACGGTGACGACTACTACTAGTGCTACCACTACTACCACCAATGCCACTGCCACTGCCACTGCCACTACTACTGCTACTACTACTACTACTACTACTCCTACTACTACTATTACTACTACTACTACTACTACTCCTGCTGCCACCGCTACTGCTGGTAGCACTACTGCTACTACTGGTTACTACTACCTCTACTACTGCTACTTCTACTACCACTGCTACTACTACTACTACTACTACTACTACTACTACTACTACTACTACTCCTACTATTACTGCGACTGCGACTACTAACTACTCCTACTACTGCGACTACGACTACTACTACTCCTACTCCTACTCCTATTACTGCTACTACTACTTCTACTCCTACTCCTACTCCTTCTACTTCTTCTTCGACGTCTACTTCTGCTACCACTTCCCCTTGTAGTTCTTCTTCTTCTACTTCCACTTCTGCAACGACTACGACGACTACTACTACTACCACCACTACTACTATGACGACTACTACTACCAAATCCACTTGGAGTCCTTCTTCTTCCACTTCTAATTCTACTTCTGCTACGACTTCGACTACGAGTACTACTACTACTACCACTACTACTACTACTACTACTACTACTACTACTACTACTACTACTACCACCACTTCCACTTGTATTTCTTCTTCTACTTCGACTTCTACTAAGACTACCACTACCACGACTCTCTTCGAGGTTCTAGGTTCCTTGATCATGAGATTGCTTCGGCTGCATTGTCGGAACATCAATCCCGGTTTTCCTTCTGCAGTCCTTTCGCCTTCAAGCGGTTTGGGACTCTCGGAGTCTTTAGTTACATGTCCTCAGCTGTCCTTTCTTCTCGTGCTGCGCTGGTCTCGGGCGGCTGCCTTTCGGCTTTGGCCGTGACAGCGCCGGCCTCAGCCGTAAATCTGAAGCAGGACTGCCATAGGAAGTCCCACCAAACCAGGAGCCGCGCGGTTCAGACTACAACTATAGGATGGTGAAATGCCGATGAGATCAGGTGGTTTTGGGGGTTACACGAGCATCTCTTGCTGTGGAACCCATGGTTTCAGCTACGGCTGACTTAGATGGTGAGGATTTGCATCTCGCTGGTGACTCGGGTTCTTGCTGCTCTCTCGTGCGGAGGTAGCAGAAGTGCTGCTATTGCATTGGTTGTTCGGCATGCTTTATAACACCTGTCCTGCACTTGTGCTTCACTGTTTCAGAGTGCCTTTACTGCCGGCTCTGGCATGCCATGTCTCCACAAGGCCTTCTCACGCCACAAAGTCGTAGAGCCTAACAGGCCTTCCAACCCACATCCTTAGCCTACAGTGATCGGAGCCTTGCCAAATCTCCGAGGCTGCCACGATTGCCTGGCTAGGCGGGGCTTGGGGCCACGATGTGCAGTCGGAACAGTTCAGGAACGTGACCTAATCTCCGAATACGGGCCCAGCCCTAGACCTGAGATTTGATTACAGAGGCTCAGGCTTTTGGCTTTAGAGCAGGACCGACCCCCGCGACCGGGCCTTCAAAGTAGGAGGTTAGGGCCAGGTTTAGGCAATCCTGGCCTCTCGGCTCCTATGACTTTCCCAACAGCCTGGCAGATTTCCCGAGGTTGGGTTCGATTCTCTAAGGTGATACGTATGTTTGAGTGGTCTTTTGTGGTGTCTCTTATTGGAGCCATCTACACCGATCCGTTGACCGGCCTTTTCCACCCTGTTTGTAGTAGAATGCCGGGTGCTCTCCGCCCATGTCAGCGTGCTGTAACAGCCGACCTGTCTTCGTGCTTTCTCGCTGTCCTTTTTGCCACGTGTCTGTTGTGGATGCCGGCACTGACGATTGGTCGAGCGCATCAGATGGAGATATGTGGGGTTGAGATGGTTGAGGTTTTGGAAAGCTTTAGACCGCCAGCCACACCAATGCTAAGGTCCCAGGCTCCCTGACAATGTGTTTCTTGGTTTTCCCACCGCCAGTTCCCGTGCGTGTTGCGGACCAAGGAGATCTCTTTAACAAGTTTAAGAACACAAGAAACGAGCAGCCAAGCCCATCAGCCTAAGAAACTGAAGCCATCGCTAGATCCGCGCCCAGAAGCTAAACGCCAGGTCGCCGACGAGCCAAAGCGGTGAAGAATGCTGTAGCAGATGAGGTGGGGTGGGGTTCGGGGGTTCGGACTTTGCTGATCATAGTCTATGCCCCTACGCAAAAAACATCCTGGGTCATACGTAAACCCTAACCCGAAACCCCCGAAACCTGCAGCACAAACAAGGGGGGGTACCTTAGAAAGAGTACTGTGCAATCAGAGCCTTACATGAAACAGCCAACCTGCTATCTAGCAATGCTCGTTAAACCAAACACTCAATCACAAGAATCGAAGCGACCCTGAAGGAAAAAGCAACAGGTGCGAGGTTCAGGGTTCTGATGCTCAGGGTTTATATGGTTTAGCATGTAAGCCTTAGAGTTGCAAGTCCTCAAGGGCTCAACAGCACAGGTAATGGTTTAAATTCGTGTGGTTGTGTACAACCCCAGGAGCAGAACTCTTGTCTGAGCCAACCGACGTTTCATAAATTAGCCTGCAAGATGTGCAAATCGAACGCTTCGACCTCCTTGCCTTGAGGCAAGCAGTGTCGAGCGTGCCATTGCAAGGTCAACTTGCGTGAGCTGCCAGAGGCCGAAGTGCCAAAGAGTCTCGGCCCAGTCTGCTGGCTTCTGGCATCACAGCCCTGAAGGTGATGATGGCGATAATGATGAACATCATGACGACGATGATGATGACGGTGACCAGCATGGTCAGCATGACAACCCATGTTCTACTTCATAAGCAACAGCATGTCCCGTTTATAATAAACGTGGCCACGTTCATGATTGAATCCGTCAGTTCTTATCATCTCTTAGGCGCCGAGCCTTAGGCCTGCGTGATGTTTGTACCGGGGTCAGGGTTTATCAGAGTGCAAACGAGGGTCTTGTGTTGAGCTGCGATTATACGTTCGGGATGTTTTTTCAGGTTGCAAGACTAGGGCATCAAAAATCCACTAAACCCTAATCCCCAAGCTCTACTTGACACGTGCCCTGTAGCCCAAACTATTGAGATGGCTCTACGTATTTGCAGACATGTGCGTGTATCACATTGTCTGTATGCACACACAGCACACTCTTTCCATGTAATGGCAGCACGGTTTTTTGGATCTACATTCAGATTTGGTTGACGCTTATGTTATGTCTTGGGATACTACTGTTGGTGCACAAGCATAAAATCACCGCTATGAAGTACTGTATCCGTGAAAATGAAACCCTGAAGCCCCCAACCTTGCACACTCGAACTTAGAGCCGAATGAAACGACAATGCGGTATCAAAACCGAAAGAAGATTAAAGATCTGCACTCTGTGCACAAAGTACCGAGGAGGCTTCGTCCCGAGTTCTACTTCGATTTTCAGGCTTGCGGGAGGGTTTTCCGGATTACAAGACCACTGAAGTCACTGAAGTGGTTCCTACCCGCGAGCGAAACTTGGTCTTTTGAGCGTACGAACCTGACTGGTTCGGGAAGTGAGGACGAACACCTGTGTTGCCAGACGTCAGCGGTACTTAGTGTGTGTGTGTGTGTGGGTGGTGTGAACTTGTCGATAGCATCACAACGGAAGCCTGACAAAGAAGATGCTGGTGTGAAGCCTGTACGGGCGAAGCTACATGCCCGGCCGAAGGCGTACCCGTTCGCGCATGCCAAGCTTCTGCAAGAAGCACACGACGTGATTCAGGCCAGGTTAAGCAAGCGATACGGTACGCGGGGTGCAGACGTAGCCATGGAAAGTCCAACTTCATGATTCTAGGGCGTATGGACGCAAGCATCATGGTTGTATCATGGACCAGAAGTCCATGTTCAGAGCTTCTTAATGAACGCACGACAGTCCTGATTCTCGAGACTTCCCGCAAAACAAGGATCAAACTCTTGACGAACTCAAGGCATGTCGCATTTCCGACACGGAAATGTTCAACCCCGACATCACACAGATGCCAGTACAACATGCAGACTTCACCTCTAGAGCGGATTACACCTGGCCCGAGTGCTTGCTTAGAAGTACGCACCTTATCAAGGCCAAGGCTTGAGGGCTTCGGAACCGTATTCTAAAGCCTTTACGAAAAGCTGCTTGGAAAAAGGATACCCACACCCGCATGTCCGAACTGTCAACCTCTGAAACAGTTTCGCGATCACGAGTTGTAGTTCTTCAGGGAGGAAGAATGAGTCGTCTTATGGCGCTCTTGCTATAATATTGAGCTAGTATGGGACCGAAGCACCGTAGTCTGACAACGAATCGCGGAAGTAGATCCCCCAACCTCCATAATCTTGCCTCAACATCGCACT